TAGTTCACTTGTGCACGACTTTTTCCCGCCAAGACTTTGGACCCCCATTTCTCACCTTCCAAATGCCCTTTGGACGTCGGGGTTGTGCAGCCCCGTGTCGCAAGGAATCGGGATTTCAGAATTTACTTCTTTCGACCGGAAAGGCAGAGTTCACCCCAGCACGACTTTTTCCCGCTAAGACTTTGGACCGCCATTTCTCACCTTCCAATTACACTAGGGACGTCATGTGCTTGACGCCCCGAGTCGCCTGGACTCGGGCTTTTCCAATTAATACCTTTCGACCGGAAAAGCGGAGTTCACCCGTGCACGACTTTTTCTCGATAAGACTTTGGAACCCAATTTCTCACCTTCCAAATGACTTGCGGACGTCGGTGTTGTGTAGCCACGAGTCGCCTGGACTCGGGTTTTCAGAATTTAAACCTTTCGAACGGAAAGCCGTAGTTCACCCTAGCACGACTTTTTCCAGCCAAGACTTTGGAACCCAATTTCTCAACTTCCAAATGCCCTGGGGACGTCGGGGTTGTGCAGCCCCGAGTCGGCTGGACTCGGGCTTTCAGAATTTAAACCTTTCGACCGGAAAGCCGTAGTTCACCCGTGCACGACTTTTTCCAGCCAAGACTTTGGAACCCAATTTCTCACCTTCCAAATGCCCTGGGGACGTCGGGTTTGTGCAGCCCCGAGTCGGTTGGACTCGGGCTTTCAGAATTTACTCCTTTCGACCGGAAAGGCGGATATCAGGCGTACACGACTTTTTCCCGCCAAGACTTTGGATCCCCATTTCTAACCTTCCAAATGCCCTGGGGTCTTCGGGGTAGTGCAGACACGATTCGCCTCGTCTCGGGATTCAGAATTTACACCTTACGACCAGAAAGGTGGAGTAAACCCTTGCACGACTTTTTCCCGCCAAGACTTTGGATCCCCATCTCTCACATTGCAAATGTCCTGGGGACGTCGGGGTTGTGAAGCGCCGAGTCGCTAGGACAATTTACACCTTTCGAACGGAAAAGCGTAGTTCACCCGTGCACGACTTTTTCCCATAAAGACTTTGGACCCCCATTTCTCACCTTCCAAATGCGCTGGGGACGTCGGGGTCGCGCAGACTCGAGTCGCCAGGACAATTTACACCTTTCGAACGGAAAGGCGGAGTTCATCTGTGCACGACTTTTTCCCGCCAAAACTTTGGAGCCCCATTTTTCACCTTCCAAATGCGCTGGGGACGTCGGGGTTGTACAGACCCGAGGCGCCAGGACAATTTACACCTTTCGAACGGAAAGGCGGAGTTCACCCGTGCACGACTTTTTCCCATAAAGACTTTGGACCCCCATTTCTCACCTTCCAAATGCGCTGGGGACGTCGGGGTTGTGCAGACTCGAGTCGCCAGGACAATTTACACCTTTCGAACGGAAAGGCGGAGTTCATCCGTGCACGACTTTTTCCCGCCAAAACTTTGGAGCCCCATTTTTCACCTTCCAAATGCGCTGGGGACGTCGGGGTTTTGCAGACCCGAGTCTCCAGGACAATTTACACCTTTCGAACGGAAAGGCGGAGTTCACCCGTGCACGACGTTTTCCCGCCAAAACTTTGGAGCCCCATTTTTCACTTAACAATTGTACTGGGGACGTCGGGGTTGTGCTGACCCGAGTCGCCAGGACTCGGGCTTTTAGATTTTACACCTTTTGACCGGAAAGGCGGATTTCACCCGTGCACGACTTTTTCCCGCCAAGGCTTTGCACACCCATTGCTCGTATTCCAAATGACTTGGGGACTTCGTGGTTGTGCAGGCCCGAGTCGCCTGGACCCGGGCTTTCAGAATTTACACCTTTCGACCTGAAAGGCGGAGTTTACCTGTAGTGACTCGACGCCATATCTAGATCAACTATTTATTATTCACAACTTAGCTAATTATCATACACGATTAGTTGCTATGGATACTACATCTCACCCTGTCTTCCAAATGTCC